CCCTGTTGTCTGTCACCAAGATCAATGTTAAAACAATAATATTCCGTCCCAGTTAACAGTCAACTGTGTAAAGCAGCGATACAAACAGCTCACACAAATACATACCGCACCCTCTGTTTTTCTCTGAGTAATAGCTTTTTAATTACTACAACAGGGAGAAATCGTTTGCAATTTCCACGGGAGCAACTAATATCTCATACTCCGGGGTTGACAGGCCGAGAAGAAGAATCTACAAGACCTGAGTGGGTCCTCTAGTGTTCGACGTAGGAAAGTGCAAGCCTGTGTGAATTGTCATCACCAGCTCAGCACATCAGCGTGAAAGATGCCCGGCCATCAGAACCAATCAAGTCTGGAACTTGTCATCGGGTAAAAATGACTCCCCCCCCACACACGCTCTATTCTACTTACCCACTAAAAATATAGCATCTCACTTTAATACTGTCAATATTATCACACGCGTCTTCTCCTCCAACAGACGGCCAATAAAGCAGATGGATGCCTGGGACGGATTCAGATTGTGATATCTGTCAGGCCCAAACAGGATTATTTGTGGGGTATTACATCACTCGGCTGTAAGCAATCCTTCATTTTACATGGCACATTATCCACACCATGTAATGCACATGAGTGCCTGCTGCTCATAAAGAAATACTGTAAAGATTTCCTCCTCAGCTCCTCCTCACAGAGACGGAGCAATAACCTGAGTGGACTTCCAACTGTTACAATAAAACTGCAGCAGTAAAGACAAAGTGTTTGATTCAGTGTGATGGCTGATTCCTACAATATGGCTATGTGTGTGTGTGTGTGTAGGTGTGTGTGTGTATGTGTTTCCTTGAATGTGGCCAGTATACACAGTAGATATGTTCCAACAAGGGCTCTGTTTAAAAGTACTTCATTACTAGTAGCAGTAAAGAAAAGTGTGTATCTGCTTTACTTGGATTAGGCCTACAGTGCACTACAGTCAGTCTGGTGCATTGCTGTGGGAAAAATACACTCTTCACATTCAGTAGAGTGGTCATAATCTTTAAATTCTGCATCCGAACTTTATTGTTATGATTGTGTTAGCGTCTTTCTTTTAAGAGAAATCATAAGTTCAAAAAACATTCATGTCATTGTATTTTGATGACCTCAGCTGAGGGGAGCACTACATATGCAGTAAAACACCAATCAGTGGTGTATTTGTTCATCTTCTGTATGTAAATTTGAATAGAATTAGTTTTGAAATCTGCTTGACAAATTAAAGTTTTTCCATAACCAATATGCTCCATTTGCTTGATTTAAAAAACCTGCACATGTAAATTGTATTGCATATCTGAAAAACTCTGAAACAAATCCTGTTCTAAACAAAATAAATGAGTGACTTATTGTGTCCACCAGGGGGTGCCCCAGAACTCAAAACACCCCAACTGGTCATCTCAGGCTCCAAACGTCACATTATGACCATCATACTATGTTAATTGTACGAAAACAGAGTCTTACTTGCCAAAAATTACTCTGAGCTCATCAACTGAAACAATAAACACGTAACCTTAAATAGACAGAAAATCAGGCAATGATTTGGAGTATAAATACATCTTGAGCTCATTCTAAAGTTATGGGACAAAATTTTTGTGCGGTAAAATTTGCTACGCTAAGACAGATATGCAAAGTTCTAGTGTACGTGGATTACAGAGGAGGCTCTTTTCCACTCTGTGCTTGTGCGACATAAACTCTTGCAGTTTCTGGAGGTACAGTAAGTCCTTTCGCTGCCAACTCTGGTCAGGCTTGGCCAAGATTTTCAGAGTGATTGTTGCCAATGTCAAAGCAAACAACAAAGACCAGAACCACCAAGAGGAGTAGATTAAAACACCAAAGACATTTGTTTTTGGACAAACTTAGGAAGGAATTTTCCTCTTTACTATCCTTGGACAGATTATCAGTCGGATCAGAACATGCAACTTTTTACACAACTATGTGTTCTAAGGAAAATCATGGTGATATTCGCTGACTGAAGATGATACAGTGTTTTATACCAACAGTTTGAAGCTTAAAGAATCAACAAAAAAAATTCTCTGGTAGTGGTCAGTGTTACAGAGCCTAACACTGAGCACTCTGTTCTTGTACAACAGTTTGATAAAGAGGATGTCCATAATGTTCTTTATTTTATGAAGAACCTTCTTTCCACAATCATCTCCAGTGGTTCCAGAACCGTCCTCAGGACAGAACCAACTTAATAACATTGTTTATCCTTTTTAAGTCACTGGACTTCATGCTGATACCCCAACAGGCTGTGATGCTGCTCTCTCTCCGAGAGACTCACCATTGCTGCAAACACTGACAGACCAAACCTTCCTTAAGAATTAAAGTCAGCTCTGTCTGTTTGTAGTCAGTTTCTCTGCTGTGTCTCCACTCCACTTCTTTCCCTTCATGATTGATGCTGTAAACGTTGTTTTGAAAACATTTTAGTCATATAGCACTTTTCTTTGAACTCTCAAAGTGCTTTAGAGTCGCATTCACTCAATCATTAATGGACATATACCTTCCTACAGCTGTTGGTTTTTTTGAAGAGTAACGTCTCTGTAGGTTAAGTTGCTATTTCCTTCAGCCAACACAAAAGAAGCCGTAGCCCCAACTGTCTCCAACTTTCCATTTTAATGCTGTCCTATAGATCAGTGGGGGACTCTCTGACTTTCTAAGCTCTGCATGTTAGCGTGTGCCTGCATGTGTTGGCATTTGACCTTTCTCGTTCCTCCTACGCCCCCCAGCCCTGCATCTCCATCTCCTCCGTTGTTAGGTCAGTGTTTGGGTGGACTTCGACAGATATCTGCACGGCACGAAAAAACGCTCTCTCATTAATTCTGCAGAGAAAGACTCGATTACTGAGCTCAGGACCTCTTACTGCTGAGAACAGCCTTTCCCCTCAGCATGCATTGATTTCTCGAACCCTTTCAGCCTTCACTCCCTTTCTGTCCAGGCCAGCTCAGCACACACACACACACACACACACATGCACGCACGCGCACACACAAACCACAAACTGTTCCGCACTAAATCATCTGAGTATCATAATACGGTCTATGATGAATGCTAACTAGACAGCGGCCCTAGCTTTGATTAATGAAGATATCATGCAGGTTCACAACGGTGGACCATGCGCCACGCAGCCCAAACCATAGATAACTGTTCAGTGGTATTAATCAGGGCTAACCAGGCAGCGGCTTCTTGCTGAACAAATGAAGGAGCTTACTTGGAGGTACAATGAGACCACGACACACACAGAGAAGGATCTATGCCTGATAATCTCCAGCACAAAGTGGAATTTAGAAAAGGGTTTAAATACACGTTAGCTCATGTTTGAGGAGAGAAAAAGCTGATCTTTCCTTCTGAGATGGTTTCTAATACATTTTCAAAAGTAGAAATACATAAAGAACCTTTATTTCATCAATGTTTGTATGCTTGTGTGGTTAAGCCTCTTTTCCTAGTAAGACAGTAAGTCCCATGCAAATCTTTCTTATACAGTAAAACATGGCTATAAGTTATAAAAATCTAAAAAGATCCACGTCATTGAAAAATGTTAACAATATCCCTGAAAGCAGCAATTTTCAACAAATAGCAAAGGTTTCCTGCATCGTCACAGTTGCTGACCAAGGGAGAGACTTTTTCAACCTTTCTTCACCCATTTACAGTTTAGAGGACGCTGGTAGGAAGAAGATGTGATTTTAGTTGACTTTTGTCATGTGGAATTGGATTTAAAATGGCAGCAGGTACTCTATGATAACGGCCTAAAATTAGCCTAACATGACTTTTGAAGAAACATCACATTTTCTATTGAGCTTGAGCTCAACAATATTTTTTGTAAATATGAATACATGCCATATGTATTAACTGGCAACCACGGTCTAACGTAGACTGTTTCTTCCTAAAGATGCCTTCAGACTGGAAGACTGGGCCGAGGGCGGTGTCAAATTTGTTGGTCTTTGAGATTTTAAAGACAGACTGTTCATTTTTACCTCATGATTTGGACACAACCTCGTCATGGTCTTAGCATCCAGCTCCTGTGATGTGATCCTTTTCTACAGCAGTCATTGGGTGTACTCTACCTGTACTCCACCCAGTTCTCCACCAGATGGAGTACACCCTGGTGGTGTACGTGGGGCCAGCCCATCTTGAGGAAGGTGACGAATCCACCAGTTCAACAAAATGCAAACTGATAAAAAGGATTTTGCTAATGCTGACGTGAATGATTATTGCACACTTGACAATGAAAAAGGAAGGCGAGAGTGGTTATAGTGAAATTAGACAATATTTAAAAATCTCAGATTAATTTTTTTCTGAATAGGCAGCACAAATATATTCTTTTTCCCGTTATTTAGAAGGTAATGTCAGACGGTAATACTTCATTGTTTTAGAGGTTACTGTAAATATATATTGTACCCTGCTGCCCCCTGGTGGCAACCTTGTGCTCACCAGCCTTCATGTAGATCATTGTTTTAAATATTTTTAGTTGGCTTTCGTACCATGCTTTTTATGCGACTGTGTTGTCTTTATTAAATTTTTGAATCATTTTTTAAACACCAAATGAGAATGGGGAGAAATTGTACGGTCACAGGCTTTTTTAATGGGATAATTAAATATATCTTGATAATTTCCATTATTTTTTAGTTTTAAAAACATGAGTTGTGAACACAGAGCACAAGCAGGAGGTATTCCTTCAGCAAAACAGGCATAAAACCAACTACCAACACCAGAGTTCAATGATACCAAAGACAAGAAACATCACTGAAACCACAATTTGATGAAGCAAAAACAATAGAACATTTTTCCAGTGTAGTGAGTTTTACAATAACTCAAATTGATTAAACTAGTAATATGTCAAATTAACAGAATCCCAACTTATCGAAGTAAAAAAATAAAAATAAAATAATGATTAATCTTGCAATTAAATATTATGGTTACGTGTTTATATGAAATATCTGATATGAGTTCCAGGAAAGAAAAACAAAGCAGACCAAACATGTGACAATATGTGAGGAAATTTATTCATTTGTGTACAGAGAAGAAAACACAGAACATGTTCAGAGAAAGTTCAAACATATTCTTTTAAGACATTATGTTTGCCTCAATGTCAAATGATGAGTTTTATACATCAAGACAAACACACTTAGCTAAACTCAGTATCCAAGTGAGACAAAATCTCATCAAGTTTTGAAAAAATTTACATCAAACCTTTTATTTCGATTCTATGTTTTAAACTGTATTTTTTAAGCTTTTTGGTAGAGTTATATCACGACTTCATTAAAAACAGACATATTAGTAATCAATTTTCCTTTTGTAATCTCAAAAATGTTAAAGGAAAATAGGGGGGGGGGGATTCTAGCAATAATCATGAGAGCAGAAAAAAACTTCATACTGCTTATAAAAACTTTATGTAAGAAAAATATATATACAATCCAGAAAGATTCACAATTCAATACTGTTTCATTAACAGATAATAAATTTAGCCTGAAGCTCAGATTATTTTTTTTGACAGGTGTTAACAATAAAATGCTGCATTAAAGATGAAATAACGAAATACATAAAAACCATTTCAACTGACTCTTAGCTAGAGAAGACAATCGTCTTATATTTTCTCTCTCTCCAAATTTCAGCAACAATCAAATACATCTGACGCATTTTCTATTGAATTATTATGTACAAAAGCCTGTCTGTACATTACACCTCTGTTGAGACAAGTATGGATGGCAGTGGGAAAATATATTTTTACAAGCAGATCTCAAACACCCCCACTTTCTATAAGAGAATATTTCACAACAAACAAAGTTTGTATAAGTCTAGGTCATATTTTATCCAGTTCTGTACTTTTCTGCTGTTTTGTGAGCTCAACCTCCAGCGACTCCTGCTGGACTGCGGAGCTGCTCAGTACCAGCAGACAGTCACAGGACTGTGATCCGGCTGCTTGTGTTTGATGTTAATCTGTGCGGACACTGGCGTGGTCACAAAGACGGCGCTCACTGAGTGGATGTGTGTCATGGTGTCTGCGTCGTAGAAAGAGAGCTCTTTAGAAGAGCAGTTAAAGTAAACCCCAATCTTTCTGGGTCTGTTTCTAAACTCCAGCTCTGTGGTGACATTTGGGCCACAGGAGGCATATTTTACTCCATCATATTTCAGGAGATTGTGTATAACCCCCAGCTCCCAATAGCTTCTGCTGCCGACCTCAATTTCCCAGTAATGCTGCCCGGCTCCGAACTCACTGACACTGGAGGCAGATTGTAAGTCTACTGTGGCTTGAGCGCCAGAAGGGTTTGGACTGTAGAAACCAGCTCCACCAAATGAAAAACCGGATGGATCTTCAAAAGTAAACGGACAATACATATTTTGCCTCCCAAAATCAGTTTCAACGGCTTGGTGCATTTTGGGTCTACAGAACAAACTTCTGCCATCATCAGACACGACCACATCCTGACTGTCGCTCTTCAGCGTCAGCAGCTCTGCCCGGGGTTGGATCACCTGAAGCATCTCCTTCCACATGAAGAACTGCAGGTGGCTCTCATACGGCCCCAGTGAGAGAGAAGAATCCACCACTTGGAGTTCATTCACTCTGGGCCTGAACAGGTGCTCTAGCGCCCCCTTTTCCTTCCCTTCAGTCCAGCTCTTTAAGAATCTCTCTGATTCTGTGATTTTCAGAACCGAGGAGACTTTTTCCTTCAGCTCTCTGCTCTCAGACAAAGCCACAGCTGTAGCTTGGAAAGTCTCTCTCATTTTCTCAACGTTGTCTTCCTCCTTGTGCTTCAGCTCGCTCTTTATCTCATTTTCTCTCCTCTTCAGAAACAGATGCATCTCCTCAAACTGTTTGCTGATCCGAGTCAGCAGCTGCTGAGATCTCTCTCTGGTTTTAAACATTTCGTCCTTTTGTGTATCAGCAAGACTTTCTACAGCGTGAATATCGTCGGCAGTGCATTGTTCAAACATCCCCAGCTGTTTTCTGAGGGATGCAGCAGCTTCTTTGACTGGTTTAAACTGGTGACCTTCATGCTCCTCACCATCTCTGCATATGATGCAAACTAGCTGCTGGTCTGTGATGCAGAATAACTTCAGCTTTTCCTCATGTTCAGGACAGAGTGCAGCCAACTGGAAGACACGCATTGAGACGTTTGAGAGTTTGATTGGTTGTATTGGATTTTCAAAAAAGAAGCATAAGTGGAGGGAGAACATATTATTACTGTCATAATATTATTATGAGCCAAGATTAGAGTTACACCCTGGTCAGGTCTGCCATCCATCACAAGGTCACTGCCTTCAGGATATAAGAGTCATATAATGGCTTCAGATGAAAATCCAGATACGACTACTGCTGAGCAAAAAAATAATTCTCATACAAACGCCTTTTTTAAGAAATGATCATTCATACAAAGTTAACCATTTCAGTCCCAGATTCATTTTCAACACTGCATATTACGTTATAATTATTGGGCATCTTCACTGTCATTTACTTTTAATAACAGACTCATGAAGTGTTTTTCACCTCTTTTTGTGTTTTTCTGTTTTTATCAAAGATTAGTTTTTACGTCATTTACTAAATACTTCTCTCCTCTAAATTGAAGTGCATGCTGGGTAATCTCTGGCTCCTATCTGTACACAAACCCCGACCAGTCCATGTTTGCAGACAAAGATAAGAACGAAAAGTTGTTGCTCAGTTATTTAGAGACTAGACTATTAAAGGGTACATATATAGAGATTTTCCAATTACTCTTCTTTATTTGTACAAGTCTGTGTAATAATTACCATTTTGTTGCAGAATAACCTTTTGTCTTTTAGGAATGATGTAAAAGAAAAAAAAAGGTGATTCATCTAACCTTATAGAGTTCATTTTTGTGACCTACAGCTAATGTTTTTTTGCAACCTGTTCATGTTGGTATCCAGCTGTGTAAAAACTTAAGTCCTGAAATGCACAGTGGTATTTAAAATAAATATATTAGCATTCACCCGTTCACCTTTAGAAGACGATTCCACACATAAACATAACGTCATACCTCTGCTGTCAGTCGTTTCCCTTCGTCCGGCTTCGCCTTGGCTTTCTCGGCCAGGCTCTTCAGAACCAGGCTTGTTGGGAGACTTGCTGCCTCCAGCGCTACAGCTGTCCCACACATCGGACAGTGCTGCTGTGTGGCCAGCACTTCTGAAATACACTGCCTGCAGAAGGAGTGTCCACAGGGAAGGTTGACTGGATCGGTGAAGATGGTCAGACAGACAGAACAAGTCAGTTCCTCTGAGTACGAAACAGACGCCATGGCTGCTGCTTTCCTCTGAGCCTGTTCAGCCAGGCAGAGGATTCATCTGTTGGTTCATGTTTCTGAAATGCCACACCCAGTGTGGTGAGAAGGCAAGAGAGTTGGAGTCATGCCATTTGGCATGGCCTGCAGATACAGGGGTTGGGATGAAAAGCATGCCAAGCACAACATGGATCACTCAGGGTCTGTAGAGATGGATGGTTTGTCATTAATAAAACATATTTGTGATTTTGTTACTCCTGAAATCTTTTGTTCAGAACATCCTAAATCTTTTTTGAACATGCTGGAATAATTCAGTGCATTTTCATTCAGGCTAAAGTCTAGATTTGCACAATCGGGGATATACACACACGGACAGAATTGTTTGTATTCCTCGGTTAGTGAAAGAAAAACCCACAACGTTCACAGAAATAACTTGAATCTGACAAAGGTAATAATGAATAACAATTCTATGAAAATGTTCAAATGAAAGTCAGACATTACTTTTCAAACCTGCTTCAAAAATAAACTCATGAAACAGGCCTGGAAATAAATGATTATACTACTGCTTTAAATAAAATTATTTTCATAGCATGAAGTTAATTATTTCATAAATTAATGATTCAAATTGCTTAGTTATGTGGTATATAAGTCATCAAATGTGTTTGAGGTTAAAAGATAAAGACATGCCATTTTTTTTTCTTTGTTTATTCATATCATCCAAGTGTTTTACATTTAGATTATTAAAAGAGCAAACAAGAATTACATTGTACATGTCATAAAATTTCAATTCAAACGCATTCATTAAAGTCTAATCCTGGTGGTACCCGAGCGAGATCAGGCTCAGCTTTCAGAAAATTGGTCACTCCAGATGAGGGACCAATTTTTTGACCAATTTGTTGACTAAAAGTCAACAAATGAAAACCAAATGAAATTTTAAGTCACAATATTTCATAAGCATTTTTACATTGGCTATAGGCTAAGAAAATGCTTCAGTTTAACAAATAAATGTTTACAACAGATCTAAGGTATAGTATGTTTTTAAATTCAGCTTTTAAAAGAGCAAAGATGAAACACAGAAAAAAAGAGAAAAAGACCATAGATGAAGATAAACCACATTATCCACAAGTTGTTTCTTATTACAGGGTTGCCAGCAACAGCAGCATTTGTCCAATTACAGAATTTGTCAAGGTAAAGAATTTACCAGCCTGTTCCTGGGTGAAAATGCAAATGCAACCTGAACCTAAGAACCGGTTGTTCCCCTCTTTCTGCCAAAACCTTTAATCAAATAAGAGTTTTAGCAGAGACTTTAGAATCGCTGTTAAAAAAGTCACAGTGGAATTTCTTTTAGCATCAACAGCATGTTTAAGTTCACCCCACAACAAAATTATTTCATTTCTGACACTTTAGCTTTTTACATAACCATTTCTACATTGTCCTCATACTGAACTTAAACTTCAACATGCTGCATGGTGTCTGCATCAAAGAAGTGGAGCTCCTCAGAGTTGCCATTCAAATAAAAGCCAATTTTTTTAGGTTTGTTTGCAAACTTTACTTCTTTTACAGTTTTTTTGTGAGTAGTGGTGTATTTGTTATTTTTGAACATCAGGGAATGATTCTTTATCTGAACTGTCCAACACTTCTTGTCTTCAACATCTATCTCCCAATAATGTGGTCCTGGTGCGATCTGATTTACATTAACTATGTTGGTGGTTTGAAGTGTGTAGTATTTCTGACATTCTGATAGTAAAGTGTTATAGTTAGAACTACAATTGCATGAGGAAAATAAATTAGAGAAACCTACCGGCCCTGTAGACACTTTACAAGAACAAGAAAGACGAGACCGTTTTGACCAATCAGGTGGATCTTGGGTCTTAAATAAAAGCCTTTCTGCTTGAGGCTGGATCATCTGTCGCATCTCCTTCCACACAAACAACTGCAGGTGGCTCTCATAGTGACCCAGTGAGAGAGAAGAGGTCACCACTCTGAGATCTGATGCTTTGGGGTTGGATTTGGGTTTTGGTGTCATTTTGCTCTCTGACCAGCTCTTTAGGAAACTCTCTGGATCTGTAACCTCCAGGACAGATTTCATCTGTTCCCCCACCTCTCTGCCTTCAGTTAAAGCTTTTTCAACAACATTTAAGCTCCTTCTCATCTTCTCAAGCTCATCTTTCTCCTTGTCTTTCAGCTCATTCAGAATTTCATCTTCTCTCCTTTTCAAAAACTGGTGCATCTCCTGAAACTGGCTGCTAATCTGGATCCTCAGCTGCTGAGATTTCTCTTCGGATTTTCTTATTTCTTCATTCTGTGACTCGACCAGATGTTCTATGGCACAGATGTCAGAGGTTTCTTTTTCCACCAGAGTCTCTACCTCCTTTCTGATTGATGCAGCAGCTTCTTTGACTGGTTTAAACTTGTGTCCTTCATGTCTTTCACAGTCTCTGCATATAATACAAGTTAGCTGCTGATCAGTGACGCAGAACAACTTCAGCTTTTCGTCGTGTTCCGGGCAAAACCCCACAGCAGCCTTTAGAGTCAATAAAGCAATAAAAAATGTCAACAATTGACTTCTAGCCTCTGGTAAACAGTCATGTCCTATGTTATGCGATTGTAAAATGTAATAAAGTTAAAAGCTTACCTCAGTGTCTTTTCCAGATTTCTTTTCCTTCTTTGCTTTTTCAGCAAGGCTTTTTAAGATGTGATTAGTTGTGAAATCCATCATGTCGGTAGGAACAGTCGCCCGACATTGTGGGCATTGATTCAGTGATTTCAAAGAAAGTGTGATGCACTCCCTGCAGAAAGAGTGTCCACAGAAGAGGGTTACTGGATCGGTGAAGATGATCAGACACACTGAGCAAGTCAAATCTTCTGAGAAGGAGGAAGAAGACGCCATGCTTCTGGCTGATCTGCTCTCCTGTGTGTGTATCTGTGATTCAGGAAATAACTTCCTGTTTACTGGAGGAGCCCCGCCCAAGCTTCATGCAGCGTTTTTAACAGACTTCCTTAAGTTTCGTTTCTGCTCTGTCCTCCCAGCTGCTGTGGATTACCCTAGTGGCAGTGGTCCCCAAACTACGGCCCGCCTCCACATTTGGTCCGGCCCCCTGAACAATACCAGAGGGCATTCAGATTTTTTTTCCATATACGGTATTTTCCGACTATAAGCCGCTTATATGTGGATTTTTCTTCAACCACCAGGGGGTTCTTTAGCAGGAAGTGAGTCATTGGAAGTCAAAATTGGAAATAAAAGAAGAAAGCGCCCATTAAAACAGAATTAGGTTTTAATAGGGAATTGAAATTTGAGAATGTTGTTGATCAGTTAAATAGCATTGAGGGGAAAAAGAAGATTTTTCTTTTTTTTTTTAATAATACTGGGATCATTATGAGAATTTGAGGTATAGATATTAGGATCCAGAAGATGGCAGTAGTGCAACAATAATGGATGCAAGCTGCTGTTGAAATCTAAAGAAGAAGAAGAAAAGCGCCTATTTTCATTTAGCACATACTAGTAGCAACACGAAGGATCAGCACTTTTACTGTTACAGTTACTGTTCGGAAACTACTGTAATCAGTTCAATTAAATCTAAACTTGGCAACTTTTTCTTTTTCAACCCTAATAAATGTGATATTCAATTGACCTGTTATGACTCAAATTTTGGGTGTCCGCCCCCCTCTGCTGCTGCATCGTTATGGAAAACCTGGAGCGGCAGAGAAATATGCGGCTTATATATTTACTGTTTTTTTTTTTTTTGTTTTTTTTAACTTTGGGGTTGTGGCTTGTATAGTCCAGTGTGGTTCATAGTTCGGAAAATACAGACTATAATCCTTCCTGGACTTATTCTGTGAAGAACCCAGAGAGGGTTATTTGGTTATTATTTATTTCATTAATAGTGTTATTTATTTTCTGACTTTTGTTCTGTGAAGAACCCAAAGAGGGTTATTTGATTGTGCTTTCTGGAAAACAATCACACCTTTTCTGTTACAAACTGACTCTGGCCCCCCACCAAAGAAGGGAAAAGTTATGTGGCCCTCACAGGAAAAAGTTTGGGGACCCCTGCCCTAGTGGTGAAAAACCAAAGAAGAGGCTGGCTGGATAACATGCCTTCTAGCTCTACTGAAACAATTGTACCACTCAGTTGAGAATGAAAGAAACAAACACTGGTTATCATTAGAAAAGAGCAATTTTATGAAAGATTATGACAAGACTACAAATCATAATAAAAGCATTCTGAATTCACAGTATGCAGGTTAGTTTTCAATTGCAGAAAATTCCACATCCTCCAATGAAACATGATTTAGAATGAATTACAATTACTTCTTCATTAACAAGTCAGACAATTATTTGAAACCTCAAGATTTTGGCAGGTTACAAACAAATTTCAGCAGTTCTGGACCTTCCTAAAAGTATTATGAACTTCATCATTTGAATACTAAGCCTAGAACTGATGCCTCCCTAGATCTGGATGCTGAACTTCTGTGTTTCTTTGTGGAAACGAACCACTCAGAGAGGATATGGGAGCCTTTTTAAATCTTGCTAGAACACACCTTAGAGAGTATGGGACCAACAAAAATAACACAACCTGGTCTGATGAAACCAAATAAAGTATGTTGGTCTGAACTACAAGCTTCATGTCTGCAGCAGGAACTGGGTGAGTGTGACTGATCCTGGAGAGTGATTCATCTTTTTATCAGGCAAATATTCTACTCTTGTTTTGGTTCTATTAACATTTTACACATTTTAAATGTGTTGTTATGGTTACTGTAGCTCTATTGCTTTTGTATGAGGCTGAGTTTCTTTTGGTGCCATATGTGACCCCTTGATCTGTGGGTGGACCATCTGCTTTTGTCTAAGTTGGTGGCAGAAAGCATCAGCAGCAGCGTCAAGGCAAAGAACCTGAAAAGAAAAACAATTACTAAGGGAATATAGCTCCCTCTAGTGACCAACATCCTGGATCTGCTCTAGGAAGTAAATATTTTAAAATTGAGGACATCACTGTACCTATTTTTCTGTCATTTTCCACTTTATACATATTACGTTACACACTATAATAGATATAGGTTGGTACTTTAAATGCTAAAATTCTCAAACACTTTATAACTCAAACTCTTATGAGGTTTTTTACATGCTGTCAGTTTTCATAACTTCTTATGGGTGCAGTAAATATTTCTACTGGAGATTTGAACAAAATTAAAATGCTTCGGAAAGACTTAAAAAAATAGTTGAATTTTATTGGAAAGTACAGAGAAATACTTTGTTGATATTTTTATATAACTGTAGTAAATCACAAGTAAATCTGTTAAAAATACATAATCACATGGCTCTGTTCCTCTTCAGCTGTAACACACACAGGAGTTAACAAGACAAAGAATGAACACAACATTAAATGGCTGATAACTGTTCTCTTGGTCATCGTTAACAGTTAGGATTTCAAACACTGACACTGACATGACTTCACTGATCCAAAAGGGGAATTTATTTCTACTCTTAGGCCTGTTTGTTGAAGAAATAAACTCTATATGACTTTATTACTCAACGACTGAGACAAATACTTTCTTTATTTAGAGTATTGGAATACTGAGATGGACAGAAAATGTTTTTCTCCACCTTCTATAAACGTACTGATGCTTTTCAGGCTACATCCACACTCTATTTTCTGCAGCAGACAGAATCATCTCAAAACAGAGCTGAACACAGTAAAAGGCTTTATTTTCAAGCAATAAATACAAAATAAAATTGTCATTGACATAAGCATGGTTAACGTAACACAAGCCCATTCACAACTCAGCCCTCTGAGATTAAGACAATATGCAGAATTTATCTATTGGCATCTCATACCTCTCACACATCTCATTTATTCAATTTAAAAGCTTCATACAACATTTTGCATTTTGGATTTTGTTTTACATATATTGTCCACTTGATGTCGCAGTAGAGCAAATTAAGAACCATGGCTCCCTGGCGCCCTCTGATGGAAAGCTGCCAGAACTGTGAGGAGAGAAGTAGAGCCCAGACAGACCCGTAAGTCCAGACTCTCAATAAGACCAGGTGTATTGAAATAAGCTTGCATGGGATATCAATGCGTAATCTATAAATCACTTGTGTTTGATAAACAAGTAATGTTCTATTTATGTATAAAATCAGTTACAATCTGTTACAAACATCTTCAGGAAATGTTTTATGACATTGAGGTGGGTACAACTTAAGGGAAACACTGAATTTGAAAATATGTAGCATCAGAACAACTTTGAAAAGATTTTTGTATCACTATAACGGGGGTCAAACAATGGATCGAAGTGAATATGGAACTAAAACAATGTCCAAGCATCAAGCAGTTTAAAAACAAATGTTACTCACACTGTACAGGGAACTCCAGCTGGATGTCAGGTTGCTATTTACAATTGCCATTACTACTATTACTATCCATACATTTTCTTGTCTCATGAGAGTTAGTTTGTAACCATCTTGTCAATATAATATAGTTTATTGTTGGTTCTTTAGCATAGTATATTGAACAGGTACATGCATATTTTAACATGGTTTTGATTATACATGTTGATAATAATTGAGTCATTAGGTAATATCTTTCATTAATTTGAGATAAGGGATAGGATTAAATAAGTGTTCACTTCCTCCTACCCCTTTTCAAACATAACGGTGGTAGTAAACAAAGTATTTTGTTCTTGATTATCTGTGTGCATGTTTTTCTCTGTCCTACTGATCGCTTGTTTGCTTGTTCTTTTGTTTTTTTTTTTAAAAACTGTTTGAAATAAAGAAATAAATATTAAATAAAAAAAAATGTTTGTATAATTCATTTCACTTATTATGAACAAAATCACACAATCTCAGACGTGCAGCTCAACTTAATTAACTCACTACATTGTGCTACGTGATATAAAGGAAAAAAAAGTTTAGATTTTTGGGGTCATTTTGATTCCCAGGTCCTCTGTGCTGTCTGATGTAGCAAATACACTCTTTATATAAACAACAGCTCATGATAAAACCAAATTGGCTATCGCTTTTATCATTACGCTCCAATACCATAACTGCTGTTTCATTCAAATTTGGACACTCAGTTTGTTTGGCCCTTTTTTCTCCAACATCATTAAAAAAAACATACAGACAGTGAACAGGGTCAGTTCAAGCCTTTTTGGGGCCTTAAGCATATTTTCATTTGGGCCCCACCATACCAACACGTCAAAGATGCTTTGTCATTCCTATGCTAAGTAACGTACCTTCTGTTATTAATGTTGTTTGTAATAAGCTTACATCAAACTGGTGATGCTATGACTATTGATTTTAACCTTACAGGAGTAGCAAACAAAAAAGTGGATTTTAAAATGGAGAGTATTATTTAAATGTCCCATTTTATTTTAACTATTTGAAAGTAACAGCAGCTAATAAACAGCAAATTTAGTAAACAGGTTAACAAGTTTGATATTTCATATTTCCCCAAGAGTGTCAGCAGCCAACAGCAGGAAGAGTTTAATCCATTACATGTCTAACGACCACTTTGAAAAAAAGAGAATGAAGCTTCAACTTTAAATAAAAATAAGTTAATTTCTGATCTCATATTCTGAACAAGTTTTATGTTTGAATGAAGGAGTTTCCCAGACCGCCTGGTTTCCACTGAGCGGTATGGGACGGGTCTGTGTGGTTTGGTTGGATTCTTACTCATAGGCACCTGGAGGAGGTCGAGGAATGTTGCAGCATGTTGGTCTGTTGTATGGAAACAGACAAAATGGAATATCGAACCACACTGACCTGTGCCATACTGCTCAGTGGAGTATCTATATTTTAACCTTGCACCCTTAGAGGTCTTTTTAAAATGCCTGTTAAAAAGGCATTTTTAAAATGCCTGTTAAAAAGGCATTTTAAAAATGCCTTTTAAAAAGGCATTGCCTTTTTAAAAGGCATTGCCTTTTTAAAAGGCATTTTTAAAATGCATTTTTAAAAGGCATTTTAAAAATGGATCAAAACGTGTTCAGTGAGACACTGGTGT